TTTGAATAAGGGATTTTGTAAAGAAAGTGTGCACTGACTTTTGGAAAGTTTTGGAAAGCTTAAAGGCTAAAGAGATTAAATAGTAAAGCCTCCAAAAGCATCAAATCGCAATGGAAATCTCTAAATTTTGAATAGACATCTAATCCAAAAGCCTCCAAAAGCATCAAATCTCAATGGAAATCTCCAAATGTTTAATAGAATTCTCCATCCAAAGGCCTGTAAGATAAGCAAATCCCAGCAAACTCAAAAGGGAAAAAGTAAACTATAACAATTAAAAATTAAAAATATTCCACTGCAACTATCCCTGCCAAAAAAAAATACATTATTCTGGGGGCCTTTATTAATCAGTGCAGGAGAAAAAAAGACATTATTCTAGGGGTGTTTATTAATCAAAGGACCACATTATTGATTGTACCATTGTCTCTTTGTAGAACTGAAGGGTTCATTCGCAAAGGTTACATTAAGTTAAAACACTGGCCGTAGGCATGACCGGCGCACAATATCAGGCACAAAGAATATGAAGGATCAAACCGTGCAGAGCTCTGATGCAATGTAATTCCAACTCGCGACATGTGTTGTGTTCGGTCTGGTCTCCCTGTTGTTGTGTTTGTTGTTCTTGTCGATGGATTCGTATTTTTGCAAATGAGGGCCCAGACAGTCATGCCTATGGTCCATTTGGGAAAGAGCAACTAGAAAACAGCCAAGAGCGTCCAAGGAATTGGGAGTACGACGGGAACTTCGAGTTCAATGCCTAAGCCAGATGTGAGAGGTCACACCGTAAAAATCGGAGTTCCATTGTTCCAAGTTGTCGAAGACGTTTCAGAGAGCAGGACCCCCGAGCTAAGGGACAATAGGTGACTGTATTTGGTCGCCCCCCCGATACTCAGATATGCAGGTAGCAGTGATATCCCTTTTGGACTCGTGAATTTGCATCATTCCGCATGCGATGTGCATGGGGACATGGTCAGGAACTCTGCTTCTAGTGCTCGCTGTCCCTATGAGGCATGCGACGGCTGAAGACCCTGGGGTCCAGACCCAGAGTTTTGTATTTAGTTTCTTTGGGGCGTGTGTGAAAAAACGGCGTCAGCTGCGATGGCCGGAGGACAGGCACAGGTGATTCAACAGGAGTCTCGACACGTGAGGATGGAAGGAGGTTGAATTAAGATTTCTTTGCAGCTGCCACGCCTTGAGTTTACAGCCGCACAAGGCCCCAGAAACTTTGATCAAGCACCGCATTTGCTCAGAACCCTGTAAGATGAGAAAGCTTGCCGACTGAAGTCGAGGCTATACATGTTGCAGCAGCATCCAGACAAAGACTTCAATACGAACACACCTTTCCTCAAATCAAATAATAAGGCACACACACAACTCATATATACAGTGATTAAAAAAAAACATATCCTTTTAAAGCGTGAAGCGAGGCAACATGAAGGGAAATTAACATTATCATTAGTGTATGTTTTAACGAGAGTAATGATCAAGTAGTCAGTGAGCCAACGAAGACCATGTCACGGCCACGGAGTTGGGAAAACGGTGTCACATGTCACACTTACATACACTTGCCAAATCCTCATGACCCACAGCCACGCAATGTAAATGTTCACAGGCGATATACTGTGGTGCAACGTTGTGCGAGGTCAGTTCTTTGCCGGGAGGGGGTGTAGGAAATTTGGGGATGGAGTTGTGGCTGACTTGGCATGCTTGGGCCAATCCGGGCCCCTGTTCCCGGATGACAGGGGAAGAGGTGGAAAACGTGTGCGCGATAGGAGCTGGCGGAAGCGGCGCAGCCCTCCCAGCCCCTCGTCTTTCTCCGTGAGGACTCAGGCTGACTCCCGAGGTCCGCAGCACAGGGAGATCTTGAGATGTCTCGATTTCATGAAGGTAGGTGAACCCACGTGAACCCTACTTGACAACAATTCGACACGATTTGATTCTCACTTCATGATCTCAATAGAAGGTGACAATGATAATTCATACTCCCCTTACCATTTGGACGCCTATGTGCTAGCATTTGCCAGGCTACGAGAGCTTCGAGCAGCTGCTGACCCCTTCCTGGCGTTCCCGCGCCGAGCTCCAGTCGCCTCCCGCGCCGATGCCCCGCGCCCCGCCGACATCCACCGGCGGAGAGGGGACGCCAACGCCACGCACCCCGCTGGGCCGGGCGCTGTGGTCTAAGGTGCGGCAAGGTGCAAAAGATTCCTTTGATGTTTGGCTCGAAGATCCTGAGTAATTAGTAAAAGAGATCCTTCATGCGTCTTTACAAACTCACATGTGTTGGAAGATCCTGAGTGGGGAAATGTGCTTGTTAAGTTGAGTTTTGGATTTAGGACTGCATTATGTGAGTTTTGTCAACGGCAACAGTTTAGGGCACTGCATACCACAAGAGGTTCCAAACATCTCGTCTTTGAGACCAATGATCTATGTATATAGATGAAGATAGCATGGCTTAGCATGTGCAGGTTTGTTTCATGAAGGACATTCTAACGAATTGGAGCCCCAAGATGCTCATGCAGACATCTTTGGGGAAAGCACCCTCTGATTGTTCAGTAGAGTTTTACCTGAGATGTCCCGCGGATGAATTGTCATGATCGGTCCCATATAGTTTCATAATTTTCATAGAGGGTCCCCATCATTCATTCCTAAGAATTGTTTCATTCATAGCTTCATACAATTTGCACTAGGGCTGCTAGAGTTTCCTGGGATAGGCCTGTGGCATTTCAGACCCCCGCAGCCATACAAAACAAAGCGTTACTTCTCCCCAGAAGCTTTGCCGATAACACGGTTTATGATGTCCCGCCCCATTGCAAACATTTCCTTGCTGAAAGGTATGCTTCCGGGAGCGATTCCCCCGCCGGCTGGCACACAACTCCTTGATACAACGCATGCTTTTTTGTGGGGTGGTGCCCCCCCTTACATAGATCACCCCACAACAAATGCAATGAAAATTGCACACCAATTGATCCGCTTCACGTCTGGAACTCTCCAAGAAGCCAGACAATTCAACAGGACAATTTACAAAATTACTATATACATGATGTGATGTTTATTCAATTGGCTGACGGCAATGATGTTTATCCTTGCCGTTCGCTTGGAACCGTATGCTGCACGAAATGGCCCAGAGACCGGTTCGAGCCAAACACAAAAGAGACCACTAAATCTCCACAAATCCCTCCACACCTTCTTGTTATTTGCCACGATCTGCGTACTTTTGTGTCGTGATTGTGCCAATTGTAGCAATATGCCCCGTGGTGTGCGTACATTTGGCCTTGAACCTGGACCTGCCCATCCCCCCTGTTTCAGATTTCATACATGTTGCTCGATTTTTGTCGACCCCGTCCCCCCCCTCCATATACAATGGCCACTAATGATGCCCGAGAAATGTGGATGTGCATGGGTCGGTGTGTGTGCCCACCCCAATGTGCTCCCATGTGCTCCCTAGTGTATATATACACATAATATACAATATTCCCTAATTACCTCAGACATATTGGGACGAGTGTCTCAACAACCACCAAGAGAACGAGACAAATGCTTGTTGTATATTGAGCCCGGAAATCTTGTAGGCACCTCCCCCCTAGCTGCAAACATTTAAGAGTGATGAATCCAATCTCACCAAAAAGAATCGACCTCCGTCATTTGCTCGTGGAGGCCAAGGAGTTGATCCCTCCGAAGCCCTCCACGGCGCCCGCCGCGCAGCTTCGAAGCCCTGGAGTCGTGGTTGAGGAGGGCAAGCGGAGCCCTCGAGTTGTGGTCGAGGAGGCCAAGCGGTTTGGGGTTGGGCCGAGGTGTTCCAACAGTTTTGATGCAACGAACTATATATGTGCATCTATGAGCCAGCGGGGTGAACATGAGCACGGATTGATTCAATCAATGTCACTGACATGGATGCTGTTGGGATGAGCCACCACTCATGGAGCAACAGGGTGCTCGACACCCCACGACATGTGCTCGGTGCCCATTTCGACGCGTCGCAGGATAGCTCCGCGGCGGCGGACAGCAGCTCTGAGAGTGGCTCCGAGGACTCCGTGGACCCCATCCTCACCAAAGCTGTAGGCGCACAGCTCGTCGCGCACGACGGGGGAAACCGCCTAGGTGATAACTTTTTGTGGAGAGAGAAATAGGTCCAAGCGTCACAAGGGAAGCGGTTTAAAATCGATTACAGTGGATTGAGAGTAGATGGCACAAACCCCAAGATGTCGACGTCTTTTATATAGGGGTCGATATAAACCATCTTTTGGGGATTGTGCCATCTACTCTCAACCCACTATAGACTATAGATAGTAGATACTATCATTATATATTTTTGTGACCTACAGTATTATGATACTATTAAGACCAATAATTATACAATATTATACTCCGACAATATCTTTTGGCCCGGAGCCTCCTTTCAGAAAAAGGACTTTAGGCGCGCTGTATGATGCACACCTTGCTTGCTCCCGTTCAGTTGACCCTGACGACGGGGAAAAGCGTTTCGTTTGAAGTTACGCCGAAAGGAACCAAGGACAGATGGAGGGACAGAGGAAAGTGTTCCTTGCAGCATTGCAACACTGGAGCTTTGTGCGGCTTTGTGGATCCCTGAAACCTGCCAGGTGCGCTATTGCCGACGAAGAACCTTTGGAGCCCCGTGGTCCAAAAGGCCAAAGCCAACCAACAGCACAACATGCGACGCACAGGCGTGGAGGACAGTGACCGACCAAATTGCTGAGATCTTCGGCGTGCAGTGAGAATTTGGGGTTGAATTGGGTTGACTGGTTTGCTCTACAGGTTGGAATAGAATGAAATGGATGAGTTGAAGTCCTGATGAAGCAACCGCCTTGGGCAAACACAGGGGATGCGTTGTTGCGGGGATACCTGTGCCTATTTAGATGTTCAAGCCTGCTTGGTGAGTCAGTAGAATGCATTGCGCGCTCACAACCTAACCTGGCGGCATGCATTCCATGCCTTTGCGCTGTGAAGACTACTTAGTCGATCTCTCTCGGAGAGGCTTGGATGAAGAGATGATGGAGCTAGCTTCCCGGATGCAGTGGGAGGAAGGGCCGAAATGGGCCGAAGCCACTAGTGCATCCATACAGTTGGCACACAAGGTTAACTCGGCTGCAGTGGTTTCAGAGTACAGATGGCACAGACCCCCCAAGTAGAGGGTCCATATTCACCACCAAACTTGGGGATTGTATTTAAGTCCTTTTGGCCAAAGTCACAGTTACTCTATATAACATTATATAACTATATTTACAGTAACTATATCCTATAGAGCAGGCCAAGACAGTCTCAATCTAACTGATCAGTGGATTTAATGTCAGTTACGTTTTCCAATTGAACACAACCGAGGGAGTTGCAATGGAACCGGTGTCTTGTTGTTTCTAAGGCAAAATATGCGGTGGCTGCACAGCAGGCCGCCTTGCGAGAGGAAGAGGAGAGGAACATGCCCACTCAGGCGCTGCATGACTTCCAGAAAAATTGCAGTTTGCTGTGGTGGTCGGGAGGGCCATTATTTTATGTTATTTTTGTTTGGGAGGTGAAGACTTCCCCCTTTTATCCTTTGATTCAAGGATTGCGCTTTGGCTCCGGCCTCCGATATGGTTAATATGGTTCTACTACTCTGCTACTCACTACAAAGGGCAGGCTATTTTGGAACACGTCAAATATCGTCAAATGAAGGGCAAATCCAGAGGCATCCCAGCATGGGTCAGACCCGACCAAAGCCGTTGGGCCGTTGGGTTCTGTCAGTTCCGTATGGACGGTTGATACGTGGCATCTCTACCTACCCCTACCTAGCCTCAACATGATCCATATCCCTTTGACGGTGTAAACGACCGACAGACACCATCACGGATCCGACTCTGTAGGTTCTTCCTGGCGTTTACTTTGGGCATGCTGATCGCCCGGATGTCAGCCGGTTGCCCGCCTCAGGGCGACTAGTGGCTTGACCAAAAGGGGGGCCAAGTGAGAACATGTTGAACCAAGGCAAGTTGCACTTTCATAACGCTGCACAGGGTAATGACATGGCCGCTTGTAAGGGATTTGCCACATGTGCTATTTTGTTCTTTGAGCGTTTGCATCTACAGATTGATTTTTACATGCAAATGGGGCGCGTTTGGATCATGGGTCCAGTTGTTGAAGGAGAGGCTTAACACGATTGACATGCAGTACAGTCTTGTTTGGATGGTAAAGGTGGACGTTTGAGGATTCGATTCATTACAACACCGGGAAGGGTTGTTGTTTTTGTTGAGACACTAATTCAATTGTCAACTCAGCGCGTTGCGTCCAGGTTGCATCAGGTAGCCAACATCGACGATAAGTTTTTCGCTAGTCAAGAAGTCCCATGAAATGCAACGATAACTATGGAGGATGTTGGAGGATGGGGTGTTTTCATGGAGGGAACCTATTGACGTTCCATCAGGGGGTCCATCATGGTCCATCACACATACCCTAAAAATAGAACATATGTTTTATTTTTGGTTCCCCTTTTCAGCAGCATTTGCCTCCAGCACTGAATTAGGTCTTCACGATCTTTACACATATGTAGAGAGATCGAGAGACGGGAAAGTAAAAACAAATGTGCCACCCACCTCGACCATAACAGAACGCACCCAACGAGCCCTTAGTAGAGCGGGGAGGGGCTCATTCACCATTATGTAAATCATAAATCATACTACATCATATTTGCTTCTTGTTACTACTAGTAACAGGTGCCACGCTACTAGTAACAAGTGCCTTACTGGTAGTAACAAGAAGCTATTAGCTTAATTTGATGTTGAAGCCGGGCTACTCTTCTTTTGCGACCCCAAGAGGCGTTTCGTCCCTGATGCCCCATCGCGGAGGGAACGGAGCCAGGCACGGCTACAGAGACTGCAACTGCGAAAGATCCGAGAGGACACTGCTCGCCACTGAGGGAGAAGAGGACATTTGACGGGGTTAGCAGCCAATAGCACGCTGGACTGGCTGTTTTCAAGAGGTGTTGTTAGGCTTCGCATACAATAGGATGTGAAGGTATACGGTATACGTTTAGATTGCAGATAAAGCATGGAACAATCATGATCAGCATGATCTATTGATAGTGATCATCAATTATATTTGCTTCCATTGGTAGCATTTCAAAAAGCCTGCCTCTCGAATCGGCCTGCCTTCTTTTATGTATCCGTGTGCATTCATTCATCCGGTTCAATTTTGCAAGTCAGATCATTCACGTGTTTTGTGTTCTGTGCCCATGCCTATGTCTAGCTGCTAGCTCGTGCGAGGTCGTCCTTTTTTTAATGCCATGCCAGAGAAGAGACACAGATATAGGATGATATAGGTACAAATATGGTAGCCGTTTTTAAGTGGACTTTACATTGGGCCAGGGTGCGGTGTACCAGTATTTAGTATTATTTGTCGCACTTTATGGTTGATTTAAATATGAGAATGGCTCCATTCTTGTCCAGGGGCGCAAGCTCCCTCGGTGGAGGTTGCGAGGCCATCCATCACTATTCACTATTGTACACCTTCAAGCAGAGGCCATTCATGAAGTTAGACCCAACAATTTGGTTATTCAGCTGGTCTTATAACAAATCCCATTCAAACAAGAACATCCATAACTTGGGAACTGTTTTCTTAAGTTTTTTTTCCAAACACTTGCGACTTCCACCCGGGAAACGGTCATCCTTCTTCGATGTCCACTCACCTTTCGTCCGAGGCAGAAGAGCGGCAGCGCTACCACATTAGTGACCAGGTTGAGGCCGAACGGGCGACGGAGCCTTTTCGTAAAGGGCGAGCTTCCTTGGCGAGAGATGGTTGAAAGAGTGAATTACCTGGACATGACATCGAACATATAGACCCACAAGTTGGGACAGGAGTCTGTGAATCAACTCAGTGGCGCCAATACACTTGCCAGGAGCAGATCGATCCGCGCTTTGTGTGCTGGCTGGCTCGTTTGATAGCAGCACCAAGCAATAGAGAAGGCCCGCTTGTTCATCACCAAAGGTCCAGTGCCACCTGAAGGACTTCCAAGAAATCCCGGATGGTCAGATTCCACAACTCCATGTTCTGTTCCAGCTGCCCCTCAAGTGGATCCTGGATTAGTGATTGTATATGATTCAGATTGTATGAAGTTGACAGTCCTCATTCCTCATCACAGTATATCACAGCTGTGATCTCTCCAACTCTTCAATCACCAAGCGACATGAGCATGGGGGGCATCCCCACACAGAGAAATTGCTGTGCATTGTTTGCACCAAACTGACATGAGCAAGTCCAATTGAACATGTGATGTTCATGGATTTTTTATCACCAACCGAGCATGCATACTTGACCTGGTATGATACTTGTCCACGACCTGAAACTTCCAGAAGCCGCCTTTTCGTGGACTTGTGGGGAGCTGCGGGCGCCAAACGGTGTTTTTTCTCAGCCATGGTGCCAGGTCATTGACTCAAGACCCACGGAGGGCCTTGAAGGAAGAGACACCCAGAGCGAACAAGGCAAGGAGTCCAAGATTAAAGATAGGAAATCAGATGAGTCAGCTAGTGAGTCAGCTATCAGCTTCTTGGGGTTACCATCCGGTGGCGACCATGAAACCCAGAGGTGTGGAGGTGTCGCTTTTGTCCGTTCCCTCCCCCGGATTTCGACTTGTTTGTCCGACCAAGCTGGAGCACATCTCCCGACGGGGCCTGGAGAGTGATCGGAAGAGCCCCCGGTCGACTCCAAAGGGATACCTTTGGATCTCCAGCACAGAGCGAAGAACATCACGAAGTTGATGGCTAGATCGGCTAGACTCTAGACTCATGGAAGAACTTCTGCCCTGCCACGTGTTCGGCTACAATTTACATCAATTTATCCTACTTACAACATCTTACAACGATATACGATCTGCTTTGAGTTGAGTTTTAAGCCTTTCCTGCAGCATGTTAGACAGCCGAGCACTGCTTTGTTGGTTTATGTTATGTTGGATTGATTTTGAAACCGCATTCCGTCCGACGCACATCATGTCTTGGGACCTACCAGTTTGATCTGTTGTGTGTGGCTGTTAAAAAAGCGGGTGCAGGCACCTTCTAGTGGGACGGCTGCGCAGCAGCTAGACTCGGCAGAGAGAGAGAGAGAGGCACCATCTGGTGTTTGATTGCGCAAGGCCCCCCAAAAGCGACCCGTTCCCAATCCACAACATGTTGGGCTATGTAAGCGCATGACATCGACAATCTCACACATTACAGCTTGCTTACCAGCAACTTGATCTCCTTTCAGTCCAACTTTCTCTTGGTTTCACATGCTTGCGACCTGCACAGGAGGCTCCAAAGCCGAGAGTCTTTCAGGCAAGGAAAGCTGTGGTTGGGAAGCCTGGCCTAGCACCTTCAACTGCAGAGCTTTGAGGAGGACAAATTCTGTTTCCCTGGCGATGAACCTACTTCCGGAAGTTTGTACATGAGCATGAGCTAGCACGTTACACAGTCGGAGCTCCCCTGTTTGCTTGAAGTTGGTCGCCGCATAGTTTGGCGCAAGGAAAACCATTCGCACACCCACGTGGTGAGCCCAAGATCTTTTGTCCCAATGCAGGCTGCGAATTGCGTGATAAAGTTGTTGAGCAGCCAGGTGCACAGCTCAAGCCCATCTCCAGTGTTACTATTGCTTCGGATTCTTCAACCAAGGGATCTCCCTGGAATCTCTGTTGAAACTCAACAAGAGAGCCCACGATGAGCTCTTTTCCTTGGTTCTGCTACCTGGAATCCTTTGCCAATGGACTTCTCGCGCTTCAGGTCACCACCTGGGAGGGTGCCGAGAAGGAGGAAGCGCAACAGCGGAAGGTCCTCAGCAAGGAGGAGCAGGCCATAACGGGCGAGCTCCGTGTTTCTGGTTTCGACGGGCCAGCCTGGTTCGGGAGAGACGACTACTTTATGCAAGTGTCTCAAGCCATGCCAACACCAGTGTATCGAAGAAAATAGGAATCACACATTGGACTAGGAACGCTAGGACTCATGTTGTGTGTTTATTATACTGAGACCTGCTGTGTATCGTAACTGGTGACCAACGTGAACCCCGCCGTCAAGCAGTTGGGAAGTCGGTCGGTCCCAGACTTATTTGTGAAGTTTATTGGTGCTACCCCTGGGCAGTGCGTGATGTTTTTTCTCTCAGCGTCGAAGCGGTGTGAGGCGAAGCTCAAAGAAGAGAAGGTGCATTGGTTGCAGGGCAAGGGATGGCTAGCACCCCATGTGCAACTGGCCTGGTGGTTTGGTGGTGCAGTTGTGCCTCACTTCAGTCACAGAATTGCAGTTGCGACCCAACCAGCTGCCAATACTGCGCGCGGACGGACCTATGCATCTGGCGTCAATGTTGTGTCTTGCATCATGATGAAAGCGGGTAAAGCTTAATGATGCAAGTGATGCTTGGAGGTAGACACTTGGCGGCACAACTGTGGAAACGTTTTGGTGTCTAATGCAGCTTGCATTGGCCACAGACCAGTGCCCTGCAAAGCTGTTGCCTACCCATGCCGTCACCAAAAGCAATGGAACAATAATATGTATATAGGGGATGGCTTAAACAATTATTCCAGTGGTCATCTGACCTACTGGCATATTTCTGGAATAATGTTTTAGCTAGGTAGTGGCTCAAGGTACTACATAAATTTGGAATAATTTTTGGAATACTATTCCAAGATGTACACACATGTACATACATGAGAGAGAGAGAGATACCAGAAGAACCCAGAGGTACGTACATACATGTACAATCTGGAATTGTCCACAGTCCTGGCTCTGCAACCTTCTCACAGTCCTTTGCTTTGTAGCTGCTTAGGGCAGCCTGTATGCAGCCCAGGGGGCTTAGGGGCTCAATTTGCCCATGGGTCCTTCAGATGTGGAGGCCCCCTGGAATAATTATGTGCCACTGGCTGGGTCCTGCACCACTTGCCATTGCCACTGGAATTGTCCACAGACCTGGCTTTGTTACATGCTCACAGATCCCTCTAAGCTCTCACTAGGCGGGGAACCTATACTTGGACAGTCCTTTGCTTTGTAGCTGCTTGAAGCAGCCTGTATGCAGCCCAGGGTGCTTAGGGGCTCAATTTGCCCATGGGTCCTTCAGATGTGCCCCCCTGAATAAATATGTGCCACTGGCTGGCTCCTGCACCACTTGCCATTGCCATTGCAATTGTCCACAGTCCTGGCTCTGTTACATTCTCACCGATCCCCCTAATCTCTCACTAGGAGGGAACCTATACTTGGACATTCAACGCAAAATTAATTCAAACACGTGGTTTTGCATCCCGATGTTTAAGAAATTTACCAGAATAATTTCCAACATCGATGTCACTAGGGGTCAGACTCTTTTATAAACTATTCCAGGGGGGCCTTGAGAGGAGGTCCCCTTAAGCCACGGCCCATATATATTTATATATTTTTGCAATTATGTACAGTATATATATATATATGCTGTAACTAACTAATAGTTTTTAGTCATGATATATTTGTATATTTACTGTACTGTTTCATTTATAGAGCTTTCAATATAGATATATTGTAGTTATATGTTTATGCGTCGGAGGCCCAGCCTGCTCGACGCATGCTTGGACCTTCGGTGCTCCGCAAGGAAGACTTGCGCGTTGCCCTTCTTCCGGGATTGCCATGGTGCTAGGGCTGTCGTTGCACCATCCCCCGTGTCATTTGCTATTGCTATTTGCGTTTGCCTGTGGCGGGTTGTTGGGCATCTTGGGAATTTGGATGGGATTGAAAAGAATCAATCAAGTGAGCCATGGAAGAAAGAGAGACCTTGGAAGTTTGGCATGGATTGACAAAGCTTCTATCTTCAGGAGCGTGACACCAAAGGCAAACCGTTCCTGCAGCTACATCTTTCTTTGGGGGGCCGTTGGGCAATACTTGTCTCGAAGACCTGCAAGGTAGAGAGGTTCTGGATAGTAGTCTGCACGGTGGGTTTGTTGTTGCTGTTGCTGCTCGGCAACCGATGGGTTTGGCAAAACCCTCCCGGTGCTGAGTGCTGAACTCTCTCAATTTTTTTGTACGTCTTTCTGGTTTGTTAGTCCGTTTGTTCCAATGATTCGAATGCAGTCCGCAGCCACAACAACGACGCCAGAATCATGGCTCTTGCGATCAATGTCCGTCCTTGCGCGCACAGGGCGTGCGACCAAAACGCTAGCATGTTTTATATCAGCGCGTTTCTCACGTTCGGATGATGTGCATTCCTCCCCTGTCAACTCATGTTTGGTTGACGTGGCAGCTTGGGATGCTTTCAACATCATCACCGCACATGGCACTCGTTTCCCTGCAGATCATTAGAGTTTAGAGTGATGAAATGTAATGAGCTGCAAACAGAAAACAGGGGAAAAAACACAAAACCGAGGGCTGAAACCCAACACTTGAATTTGCTTTCAGTTTTGGACGGCCTGAGTGTGTCGTTTGTGTGTGTGTGCTTGTTTGTTCCCGTGCGGTGAGGTGGCCTACGATGACTGGAGAAGGCGGGCAGAAGCATACTGCCCTTGTCATTTCGGTGTTTGGGAACTTCTTGTCATAAAGCCGGAAATATGGTAATATGGGAAATCTTTCGGGGTTTGGTCATATTTAATCCACATTTTTCCCAGAGATTCCCAGCAAGCGGAGATTTGTTTCTAGCCCCTTTGGAAAGGTCAAGGTTAGCTGATGCAAATCACGGGGTCCAATCAGCTGCGCCAGCTCAGCTTTGGTTTGGGTAGTCTTCTTTGTGTTGCGACATCATTGTTGTGCATATTTCATCGGCCAGGCCATGCAGCTTTGAAACCAGCACTACGGCAATCAGCAAACCCTGGAAACAAACCTCCGTGTTCACAGGCCAATCTTGAAAACACAAGGCCATTGTGATTCTAGACCCGTGCGGGCCATTCCTTGACTATCGCGCTAGACTTCCCGGGCTGGAGAGGTTCATCGTCACCGGACCTGACCCGGCACACGAAGGCAAGTGATGGTTTGCACTCGCCTGCTGAACACCCACATCAACCGCTTCGAGACGGATCCTGTGAAGCTTCAGCCTCAATATATCTTCTAGCAAGCTCAACGCTGTTCAACACTGAGAGAGAGGTGCTCGAAACATGTGACAAATGCAACCCTCAATACTTGATTTGCACTATAATTGCACTATAAGAGTCTTAGGTTCCGCGTTTGGAACCCAGTGTTGGCAGCTCTATTGAGCAATGGCTGCTGCCACCAAGAAGATGGCTCCTTTTAGTAGGCCACGGTGCCGGATTTTCGTGAAGATAACGAAGGCAAACCAACAGTATATATATAACTATAAATAAATCTAGAGATAAGGTTTTAAAGTTTAAAGCGATTGAGCCAGCCACGACTACCGTAGGTCAACCAGCTGCAGCTGCTGGTTAATGCTTACTTCAAGACATCCCAGTTGAGGTTGGTTGCAATAAGATGTTCAAGTTGTTGGTGTCGTTGGTTGCCTAGACCATGATTCAGCTCGATTGGTTGATGCTCGATTTGGGGATGATTGGAAGTCTGGCCTTCTGGACCACGGGGCTGAGGGTTGAGGGGAGCCAATGGAGAGAAATGGAGAGAAACAGATGCACAGCTGAAAAACATCCACACATTTTCATGCATAGAAGACCTGCTTTCTTTGATTCACTCAGGGAACAGAGAGATGATGACTCAGGGATGGGGGACATGTTGCATTGCTTTGCACAATTCTTTGTCAGTTCTTACTGACAGGTGGTCGGTGGGGTCCACACGGAAGCTGATTTTGAGTTTCCTATGGCAAGATGCTATCCACTTTACACTTTACATCCCGAGGTTTTGTTTGTTGGGGATAACGTAACTTCTGGCAGGAATCTTGGTGCCATTTTCCGTGGAAGTCTCGCTTAGATAAATGGAACATGATTTTGAAGGACCAACAGAGCAGGGATCGCATGCAGGGGACGTGACCTGCGCAAATCTCGAATACCCGCCCGCTGAAGAACAGCGGGATGGAAGGACAGAAAATGTCATGTCCAAACTGTAGCTCAGAGACGCGCGAGATGTGCGATCATTATCTTGGTTGCTTTGGACTTCTTGCAACTGGCAGAACAAATTGCACCGTAAGGTCTTGTTCATCAGAACCTTCCGCGCTTTAGATATTTTTTGTCAGTTTTGGTAGTTGAAGCCAGATATGAAGAGGCCGCTTATTGCAGCGACACCTGCCAGCAAGTCATGTATGTGGCACAAGGCATGCAAAGATCGCCTTCGCTGTGAGCACCCTCCAAAGATCGTCCCGAAGTTGGCCTCCGGAGATTAGATTCTTTATAAGGGGAACCCTTGGTCCAACTACGGAAGTACCTGGAAGCTTCACGCCCACCCCACACACCGGTAGTTGGAACCCTAAGGGAAGGGATTGGAAGCGCAAACATTAACGGTGGTCGAACAAGCTTCAGAAAACGTTGCCATCTCCGTTTTGTCTCGGGAAGCCCTTCTTGGGAGCTCCAGCCTCAGCATCAAAAAGCCGGTGTGCTTGCGTTGTTGGGTCAAGACGAATCTAATCCAAGAACCTGCTTTACGGCTGGAGATTCTTTTGTGGAGGATAGTATTGGAGAATTCTGATCGAACACTGCTTGGATCCTTACCACGCAAGGTCTTCACATGTCTTCAACCTCTCCCATTTCCACAAAGCTCTAGGGACTCCATGCCAAGGAGATGCAAATAGGGACCAACTCAGATAGATGAGAGAGGGAGAGAGGGGATGAGAGACTCATAATTTAATTTGCCCGTGTTTCTCGCACAGTCCCAGATTTGTGCTAAGAAACGTTCCTCAGTCGGCTTCATGGTTGGCCCCTCGCAGTTGCTCATGAGCTCCCGAATTCCAAATGAACTTGTTGGATATTGTTGGTGTCGATGTCACGCTTCAGTCTGGGCTTCAAACAATTTACATAGCACTGGGGCCAACACGAACAGACAATATGGCAAACTTAGTGGCAAACTAGAAAACTCCCTCCGGCGAAGCAAAGTTTTGACCACGTGCGTGGAACACCAAATGTCACGGACGCGTCGCGGCAGAGGTTTTGCTCACAATTTTGCATTCACGACATGGCTTATCCATGCTTATCCTTAGTTCTATACAGTACATAGCAGGCACGCGGCTCAAGGATGCGCTCTGTATCCTTTCGTGGATGTTTGTTTTTGCTGTTGATTATTCTTTTTCGTCTCCGCCAGCGTGATTCAGCTGCCATCTCGATGGCCAAGGAGATCGATGAGGTCGCCAAGGAGTGGGACGAGTGGGCGGAGGGTTGGACCACTGGAGAGATGGGCGAGATGGTCCTGCAATTCAACCGGCTGGCAGAGGAGATCGTGCGCTCCAAGGTGGGAGTGTGACAGTGATCGTGGGTCCCAAATGTCACGAAAGGCGTGCCTCAGCCAACCTGAGTTCAATTAGCTGATATATGTCCACTTCATGCACCTCTCTGCTTCGCCCACTTCTTTTGACGAAGTATCCTCCCTCCTCGCTTTTCTTGCTGAGCTTCATCCGTATCCTCATGCTTTATTTTTCAGGCGTGGTCCCACATATTCCACCAACTTCTTTCGTTGCTTCCCATGCTTTTGCTGGACCTCATGGTTTGCTGGTTTGATGCTGGTGTTGCTGCTGGTCTGCTGCTTTGCTGGTTTGCTAGTGAGCCGCTGGTTTGCTGTGGTTGTTGCTGCTGATCTTTTGCTGGTGGTTTGCTGTTGCTGCTGAAAGTCAAGTGTGTTTTCCACCAAAGGTTTTGATAGGAGGCTTACTGGCTTACTATAGAATGTTCTTATGGCACAAGTTTGAAGCTTGCGTGGTGACTTCCTGCGTCTCTCATTGCAACGGACCAACTACATGTGGCTCACTGGTGTTTTGAACTCGATCCGAAGGGTGAGCCCGATGGAGGTTGGAGACCTAAGCGGGAAAACCATCATGGAATTTGGAGCTGGGCATGGCGTATTAGGCTTAGCTTTGGCAGCCGATTGTGCAAGCGTGGAGCTGGTGGATGTGGCGCCAAAGATGGTCGCAGAAGCAGAAAAGAAAATCGCGTCCAAAGACTTCAAGAATGTCAAAGCTTCTAGGAGAGAAGTGTTGAGCTACATTCAGCCATTCAGCTACACTTACACTACCATGTAAGCACGCACATTCCGCCTTTTGTTTGTTGCCAAAGCTGGTTTTGGCTTTGACTTGAACAACCTTTCTTCCTGCCCTGCTGCCCTGCTGTAAGTGTGTTGAGCCAACATTGTGCGTCCGTAGGCTTTCAGAACAGGACACACAACTATGTGTCTCAACAATGTAGATTTAATTTGAGGAATTCTGGTACTTCGCGGGGCCTTGTTTACTGGGGTGAGCAGTCCACATAGTCCACTTCCTGGCTAGCAGCAGCTAGCAGTGAGGCTCATTGCTGTGATCTCCTGGTGGAATGCCCCTTCAGCCCAAACTCTTTGGATCTGATCATCAGCGGCTCAGTCTTGACCTTCACGCCGGACCTGCCGAAGACCTTGGCGAAGCTCGCAGACTTGAGCAAGCCAGGCGGTTATCAGTTGCACTTTGTCTTCAAAGGCCTGCTTGACCAAGATGTCGGTTTGTCTCCCTCTCTGTATACAATGAAAAAACACACATATATATATATATACAGTAATATGTAATATATACTTATATACAAGTGTGAATTTCAGCTGTTGTAGCCAGGGTGTATTGCGTACAGTTGATGCACCGTCGCTGCTGTTTCGGCTGAACAGGGCCCTTGAGCTGATTCGCTGCTGCGAAAAGGAACTGTGCGAGATTCAAACTGGTAGCGGAGCAGGTTCTGAAGGGGCACCCTCAGGATCTGACTCACCCGGGGAGACTCGCTGGATCCGAACCCGTTGAACCCAATTGCATGACCCTGCGCGCAATCCGTCGAACCGTTGTAATTCCAGTGCTTTGCGAAACTTGTTGAGTTGCGATGTCGCTGGCTGGCCTGCGGTACACATCCCATGGAGGAAGTATCTCAGGACCACAGGAGACGAAGAGCGGATCATACATCTACAGTGGCAATCCAAATGGTTTCTTCGAATGGGAATTTCGCACCAAGGTCCGCGTTGCTTTGCACAAGCAGAAACATGCGAAGAAGAAGTCAGAGAAGACCTATTCGAGTCCTGGAAGCCAATCAGCCACACCAGAACGTTCTCAGAGGAGGCCGACTCATGCGACCGAAGCTGGGGATGTATCAGAGGATGACGAGGCACGACTTGAAGCTTTTGGAACCCCGAAGTCCGAGAGCGTGGCAGGAGAAGAAGAACCAGCTCTGAGCACTGCCGGACTGGATGATGATGGAGCAGAGTATGCAACACTTGTCCACAAGGTGTTGGAAGGTCTGCGAGGTGATGCATACCTCACAGCTCAAGACATGGGATTGGAGAAGTTGTTGACTCCAACTGGCATTGATGAGTTGATTTCGCGTATCCGTGCACAAGTTTTTCCACTTCGACAACAAGAAGCACGAGAGTTGTTCAGAGTGGGTCAACTCCCACATGGTCCCTTGTCTCGCCAAACGACAGAAAGCATGACTAGCTACATTTCACGAAGACGTCGTTGGTGGAGGAAGCTTTTGGAGATGGATGATGGGGTAAGTCTTTCAGACCCCATGCGTGGTGAGCTACTTCTGGAAGGTTCTGGCTTGAGCAAGACAGAACAGCTCATGATCAAGACAGCTGCAGGCGACAACCAATCCTTTGACGTCTACGCCAAGTTCTTGCTTGAATTCCATGGACAAATTCACTTGCGCAGCTGGTCCGCTTTTGGTAACACGAGCCCTCGGAGGCAGAAAGGCGGAGGCAAGTTTTCAGGCAAGTCTTCCTACAAAGGAGGAAAAGGGCGCAGTTGGCAAAGATCTGCGTACATTGTTGAAGATGACTCTTGGGACTATGAAGATTCCTATGAAGCAGAAGCAGAGGACGACTATGAGCATGAAGCTTATGTCGCAGCAGAAGATGAAGAACCAGATGATGAAGAACATGAAGACTATATCGAAGACCCTGAAGTTGCCACAGCGTTGATGGCAATGGGAGAATGTGATGATGAAGAGAACGATGTTTCAGAGGAACTGGGCAGCGCAGCCCAGCATCAGATGATGGCCTTTGTCGTGACTGACCAGTTGAAGGGCAAAAGCAAAGGCAAAGGTAAAGGTTCAGGAAAGAAAGGTGGAAAGAGCAAGGGGAAAGGCAAGTATGTGTTCAAGACACAGTTGAGCGTGCAGGACAGGATTGCACGCCTAGCAAAGTTGAAGTCAGTGTCCAAATGCTTGCGTTGTGGAGGAAAAGGACATTGGGCAGGAGACCCAGCTTGCAAGTTCCCCAAGCAGAACGACAAGTCCCCTGGAGGAACGTCGTCGACGAGTAAAGCCACAGCCTATTTTGCATTGAGTGATGATGAGTCTTCTGTTGAAGGTGAATACATGTGTGTTGATGTCAGTGGTCAAACTGTCGAAAATGGTACGTGCTACATGGCATACAAGATGTCCCCAAAGAAGAAGCTTGAGTTCGAACCGTCAGACCGTGCATCCATGTCGTCAGGAGTGCCCAGCAGTCCACCGTCTAGCTTTTCGATGGTCGAGCCAAATGTCCGTCGGTCGCCGCAGAAGTCCCCGCCGGTCACGCGTAGGAAGAAGGACATGGAACAAGACTTGTTGCCTGAAGGTTCGCAGAATGTCTTCGTGTTTGGTCAGCACCAAGGTTTGACATACCATGAAGTGTTGTTCAAATATCCTGGATACTATCAATGGGGATCAGGCATTTCGCACCCTTCGCGTTGTTTGGCAGATTTTCTGACCTGGGTGACCACGTACTACGAAGTCAGTCAGGACGGAGACGTAAGCCTGAGAGAGCACCCATTGACAGATGTGCCAGTAGAGGCAATTCGACGTACTGGAGACAAGAGTGCCAAGGGAAAACCACCAAACCCCCCGCTAGAGGAATCATGTCGTCGTTGCACCAGATTCACATTTCAAGGTTCAAATGCCTATGTTGAGAACAAGACATGCCTTGACTGCGGAAGGAATGAAAGAAAGAAGAAAGAAAGCAAACCTTCGGCCGACCCCGCAAAATGCAAGCATGAGGTTACAGATCGTCGAGGCAGTTCGAAAACCACGTCTCGTTGGTACTGCAAGTTGTGTGGAACCACTGTCGACGAGATGCCCCGAGAAGAGGCGCGTAAGAGAGAGGCAATGGCAAAGAGTATGGTAGGCATGCGCACCAATGCATTCGACACGACAGCATCCATGATTGAGAATGAAATCAACGATGCATGTATGTCAGCTGAAGGAACTCTAGAGGTTTTGGAGATGTTTCGACAAGAGGTTGAGTGTGAGTTAGAATTTGGCGAACCTGTGAGGGTTGGCGTCCTGTTCGAGATCCTTGCCAATGCCGTGGAGGTCATCAGAGAGGCCGCACCGGAAACTTGCTACATGGGACTGTTGTCGGATCTCAATGAAGCCACAATTGAAAACACACTTCGTCTTGTTGACATCATGGAAGACCCTGGAGTCTGGGCTGTGTTGGATGAAGGATGTAATGCAACTGTGTGTGGACAAGCATGGATCCAAAACGCCAAAGACAAGTATGCACGTCTTGGGTATGATGTAGCTGATTTGCAGTGTGACTCAAAAGCTTTCCGAGGACTCGCCGGAGACACCAAGACTTTGGGCAAGTGTCGAATTCCATTTGCTTTGACCTTTTTGGACCCCGAGACAAAACTTCCGGGAGTCATGGAAACGCATGTTGTCGATGGGAAGATTCCCTTGCTTTTGTCACAGCATGCTCAAGCTGCATTGCATTTCACGAAATCTATGGGTGATGCCAAGTGTTATGTAGGAAATGCAGAACTCGAACTGTGCAGAGCTAGGAACTCAGGACTTCTATGTGTGAACCTATCAGAAGGCCTCAAGAGCCTAAAGTCCAAGAGACTCCCAAAGCAACTTCGAGAACTAAAGAACACGGATTATGGCATGAGCTTCAACATTCGTCCATCAGATCAGTTGACTGCATTCATGGCTGACGAAGAGCGCCCGACTAGAGGCACTTTCACGCTGGATGACCCTGCTTGTGTGCATGTCCTGACATGTGGAAAGGAGTTCAATGGCCAGATTGCAAGCTTTGATCGCAGCAAGAGCTTGATTACATTGGGACCCATCTTGGCACAATTTGACCCCGGGAGGCGACTGTTGATCTTTGACTGCATGGGATTTGGAGATCCTCAACACGACCCGCAGTTGCGATCTCACGTCGGTACACATCCGGAAATCATTCGAGGGATGACTGGCAGCGAGAAGACGATGGAAGCATTGCTATATGGACTTCATCACCTGAAGGCTTGCCATGAAAAGGGACAACAGCTGGCTGTCATAGCCTACTGCAGGCGGAACAGACACAGATCTGTATCCTTTGGTTGGTTGTTGGCAACGGCATTCAGCAAGCTATGCCCGAGAGCTCACTTGACCTTGACGCATTCCAACCAGGATCATTCCTGGAGCCAGATGAGCGGCACATGCAAGGGCAAATGTGCGATGTGCACGCATGAGTCGCATGATGCTTTGGAAGCAGCCTTGAGGTCAAGGGACTATGTTTTGAGGCAGTCCGGGTTGAAGGCGACTCCAACATACAGTCATGTTGGCCTGGTGGTATACGATTCGGAAGTGGAATCCCGAGAGAGCGATCGAAGATCCCAGGCACCAGTCGGGTCCAGAGTACTACCGCCGCCGCCATGTCCGAAAAGACCACCAGTCCTCCGACCAGCGGTGGTAAAGGCGGCGAGTGTGGCGAAGGCGCCAGTCCCCGTGCCAAAAGGGACACACACCATGTCCCATAGAGGACCAGGATCCGTGAGGGCAGCATCACCAGACCCACAACTCGCTGCAGCAACACCCAAGGCACCAGCACCTGAAGCACCAGCAGCCGAGGCATCAGCACCCGAAGAAGAGAGTCGGTACAATGAAGATGCTGAACTTCGTCGTCGTGACAAGGCCGAGACCTCAAGACAGGCAGAACCAAGGGGTGAATCAGTTGCTACAAGTCAGCCTGATGCCGCGACACAGGCCTTGCTACAGACTGTTGAGTTGTTGACACAGCAGGTGAAGCAAATGCAGGAGCGAGAGTACGAGAGGAGACGATCACGTTCAAGAGACAGACGTCGACGAGAGCGATCAGACAGCCGGGACTATCATCGTGGAAGAAGACGTGGCAATAGCAGAGAATACCGGCGTGGAAGGAGCAGAAGCTTGTCGAGGAGAAGGTCACCTTCATTTGGTCGCATTCCGACACCTCCAAAGCTGATCCCGAGAGAGCCGGAAGGACCGCCACCCAGATGGCATTACTATGGATCAGGTCGTGGAACCAGTCGAGACTCAGAACAGTCAGCTTGGCAAGAACGTCGATTTGTGTCTTCATCAGAGCGCCCAGGAACAACGCATTTCCCAAGAGCCACAGGAGCATGGCCGTCGCATCTCGAATTCCCTACGGTTGAAGGCGATGGACCGTGTAATCGTCGAGTGAACCTCGAACACATGCCGCTTGAGTTGCTTGACA